GATAGAGCAACTCCATGGGGGAGGGACAAGGAGGGTTGCTGGAGAGTGAAGGGTCCAGTGGGGGAGGCTGTGTGGGCTCAAGAGAGAGGTCTGGGCTAGAGACAGTCTGTGGAGGCTACAAACATAAACAAGGCTGTGCTAAGAGAGTTTCACAGGGATTGAAGACAGCCGTGGGCCAGGGAGAGGTAATACTAACATTTCATCGTAAGGAGGAGAGGATCCAGAAAGGCTGTGAACAATCCCCTCAGAGGCAGGAGGAGAGCCAGGAGAGGTGGGGGTCTCCTAAAGTCAGGAAAGGAGCAGCCTTCTGGAAGGAGGTGATAGCCATCAGTGCCACAGGCCACAGGGGGTCAAGGGAGGTGAGGGCTGAAGAGGAGGTCACAGGTGGTGTCTGCGAGAGCAGTTCCATTGGTTGATGATAGTGAAGTGCCATCGATATTCCAATTCATAGCAACCCTGTATAGGGACTGCCGACCTTGTGGTTCGCAGTCCTACAGCGCCACATGAGTGGAAGTAAACTCAACTGAACTGGGTGAGGATAGAACCTCTGTCCATATGACTCCAAACCCACCATTTTTCTACTCTGATGGGCATGGGGAACCAGGACAGAGGGAGAAGTGAAAACCATGCCTGAGGCTGGGAATGGCCAAGAGAGGGCTCTGGGAGTTCCAAGGGAGCCAAGAGCATCAGGGAGGGCTGATGTTCAACACAGGAAGAAGGACAGCTGCTTCTTCCAGGCCAGAGGGCAGTAGGTGATAGGTGAGGGTGTCAGCAGATGGTGGGTGGGTAGTTGGTGACTAGGGGAGCAGGGTGGGAAGAAGTCTTGCCCGATGGCATATCTTTCTTTCTACGTGGAATGAGAGGGAAGCTCATCTGCTAAGAGAGATACCAGGACAGGTGAGGTACTTGAAGAGAATGGGGAACATTTGAAGTACTGACTCATAGCGACCCTATGCACAATAGAACAAAACACTGTCCAGTCCTGGGCCAACCTCACAATTGTTGCAGCACTTGAGCCCGTAGATGCTGTCACTTTGTCAATCCATCTTGCTGGGGGTCTTCCTCTTTTTCTCTGACCCTTCACCTTACCAAACATGATATCCTTCTCCAGCGACTGGTCCCTCCTGACAATATACTTCTTCTCTCTGAAGTATGAGAGACAAAGTCTGGCCATCCTGGCCTCCAAGGAGCACTCTGGCTGCACTTGAGAAAAATGGGAGAGAACCAACAGGCGAGGGTATAGGCTTACTGAGACCAGAGACCGTGGCCCTGTCATGGTGGCGATCTACACAGCTAGCAGGTTTCCTCCAGCAGTGCTCCACAGAGCACACCGGACCAGATGAAGGCTGGAAGAACAGAAGGAGATGGGAAAGGGATTTTCCTGAGACTTCAGACTTATAGCCTTGGAAACCCTATATAAGTTCTGAGTCAGAATCGACTTGCTAACAGTGGGTTTGGTTTGAGTTTGGAACCGGGGCAGGTTGGATGGAAAGAGTTTGTGGTCAGAGTTGGGATGTTTCACTTGAAGATTTCAGAGAGCTCAGTGGCAGCCGTATAAAATGAGGCTTCAAAGATTCATGGAAAAACTCCATTATCTTCTCATTCCATTTCTCCACTAAGTTTACGAAGTCCCCCTCGTATGAAAGCAGCCAGCTGAGATGAAGCATATCATAGTCTCCTGACTCCAGACCAAGAAGCTTTCCATTCAATCAACAAATACACATTGAGCACTTTGTTGTTGTTAGTTGCCAGCAAGTCAATTTCTAACTCATGAAGATCCCATATATGACTGTACTTCACAGGATTTTCAAAGCTTTGCCCTTTCAGAAGCAAATTGCCAGGCCTGGGCAGAATCAAACCACCAGCCTTTCAGCTAATAGTCAGGCTCCTGACCGTTTGTGTCCTCAAGGGACTCATAATACTCACTCTTTGGCCAACCCCTGTGGAAGGCACTATAGACCAGGATGAATAAAACTCAGCTCCTGCCTTCTATGGGTCTCACCACTTCATTGGGGAGACACATTGGCACCAAGACAATTCCCTGACCGGGGGTGTGGTGGGGACACAGAGAGGGATCCTCACCCAGCTGAGACAACCAGGGAAGGAGCAGGAGATGCAGAATGAATGGGAGTCACTGAGCAAAGGGATCTCCAAGAAATGGGGAGAAAGTGTTGTCCAAGGAGAGAAGGGCACAGAGTGTTCCAGAATCACTGGCCATTTGTAAGGCTAGAGGGTAAACGTCAAGACAAGGAGTGGGAAGAAGTGAGGAAGAGGTGCAGGGGTCTGTCCCAGAGGGTGTGGAGCTTACAGCAGGAATAGTAAGGCTTTGAAGAGTTTTAGCAAGGGAGCTATGTGATCAGATTTGCATTTTAGAAAGATCACTGGGGCTGTGGTGTGGAGAATTGATTGGAGCGGAGCAGGCAGAGAGCCAGAGAAAGGCTGCAGGGCAGCAGGGCGGGAGGAGAGGGCAAAGCTAGACTTATTTAGGATTCAAAATCAGCAGGACTTGATGATCTTATTGGATGTGGGGAGGAGGGAAAGGAGGGTCAAGGATGCTTCCCGAGTGCCACCCGCTGAACTGGAGAAAACAGGAGTGAGTGGGGGCAGGGAGGGTAAGGAGGAGCTCATTATAAAACAGGTGTGTTTCAGGAGACTGAGGACGCCTAGGGACACCTACTGGCAGGAAGAGATGCCTAAAAGTAAGGTCAGGGTGCCCAGATGTAGTTAGGAGGTGTAGCCTATTGTTGTAACAGCTGGACAGATTCTTCTTTGTGCTTGTTGTTAGATGCCATAGAGTTGCTTCTGACTCCTAGCGACCCTATAAACAACAGAATGAAACACTGCCTAGCCCTGCGCCATCCTCATAATTGTGTTTGAGTCCATTGTTGCTGTCACTGTGCCAATTCATCTCGTTGGGGGTCTTTTTTAGTTGACGCTCTATTTTGTCAAGCATGATGTCTTTCTCCAAGGGACTGGTCCCTCCTGATAATATGTATAATGTACGAGAGATGAAGTCTAGACTTTGTCACTTCTAAGGAGCATTCTGGCTGTACCCCTTCCAAGGCAGACTTGTTTGTTTTTCTGGCAGTCCATGGTACTTTCAATATTTTTTGCCAACACCATAATTCAAATGCATCTATTCTGCTCCTTGGAAACCCTATACTGGGGCTATGGGTCGGAATTGACTTCATGGCACTTAACAACAACAATATTCATCTACAGTCTTCCTAATTCATTGTCCAACTTTCATGTACATTTGAAGCAACTGAAAATGCCATGGCTTGGGTCAGACACACCTTAGTCCAAAGTGACATGTTAGCTCTTTAACACTTTAAAGAAGTCTTGTATGACAGACTTGTGTAATGCAATATGTCCTTTGATTTCTTGACTGCTGCTTCCATGAGTGTTGTGGATCCAAGTAAAATGTCATTGACAACTTCAATCTTTTTTCCGTTTATCATGATATTATTTATTGGTCCATTTGTAAGGATTTTTGTTTTCTTTACAGTGAGGTGAAACCTATACTGAAGGTTGTAGTCTTTGATCTTCACTTTCAGCAAGCAAGGTTGTTCATGAATTTCCCTACAATCCTATGCCATATTCTTCTCTACTTTCTCAGGTGATTTGCTCAGCATACAGACTGAATAAGTATGGTGACAGGATACAAGCCTGACACACAGCTTTTCCTGATTTTAAACCACTCAGTAACTCCTTGTTCTGTTTTAAGAACTGCTTCTTGGTCTGTGTATAAGTTCCTCATGAGCACAATTGTTTTTGAATACCCGTTCTTTGAGATGTTATCCGTAGTTTGTTATGATCCACACAGTCGAATGCGTTTGCATAGTCAATAAAGCACAAGTTAACATCTTTCTGGTATTCTCTGCTTCCATCCAAGATCTAGCTGATGTCAGCAATGATATCTCTCATTTCATGTCCTCGTCTGAATCCTGCTTGAATTTCTGGCAGCTCCTTTCTTAGAGAGTGTCTTTCTTTGTTGTTGTTTAGTGCCATTGAGTCTGTTCTAACTCATCGTGACCCTGTGTAGGTTTCTGAGGAGAAGCTGGTGGGGTTTGAGGTTAGTTAGCAGTCCAGTGGCACACCAGGACTCCAAAGATACTTAGGTAGTATCTGTTAGGAAAATACAAATGATGTGCTACTAAGGGCAAGAGGATAGACCCTAGGGCGTGGAGTGGTATTGGGGCCAGAATGGCCACAAGATGGTTAAGCTGCCCTGTGAGAAACTAGGGATATTTTTCTGGCTTCTGAGTACAAAGAGGAGAGCAAAGAACTGCAGTGTGTGTGTGTGGGGGGGGGGGGGGGGGGGGGGGGGGGCAGGAAGAGAGGAGGAAGCCCAGGGAAGGCAGAGAGAAGCATGGGTAAGTGATAAATCCTGGGTGGTGGTGGAGGCTTAGGGCCATTTTAAAAATAGAGGTGCCCAACACCACATATGTGATGTGATGTGGTTTGAGTATCTATGGAATAAATCCCTCTTATGCACCCCACAGACCCTCCTTGTTAATTAAACTTCTGTCCACAATTGCTGTGAACAGGGTTTGAGGTGGGAATGAAGGTGAGAGCTTCGCTTCATATCTGGGTTTATGGGGCACAGAATAGCAGCAGTCCATTCAGAGAGCAGGGAGCCTGGGGCACTTGGACTCCAGGGTCTGTCAGTGTGAGTCTGAGCTTCCTGGAGTCCCATGCACTGATGCTCCTTCACCTGCAGCCCTGGGGTGAGGATTCTACCTGCAGTAGGCCTGTCCAGCCTGGAGGTTCCAGCTCAGTGCCCAGGGGCCACCCCCTCCCCACCTGTCAGGTGAGCTCAGAATGGAGCAGGCATGCGAGCCCCACCCCTCCCACCACCCCAGAGCTTCCTCCTCCCAGAAACACATATCTACCTGCCAGGTCCCCATCAGTCTGACCAGCGCATTCCTTGGGACAGCAGTGACAGATCTGCAGGTGGGGACCAGAAGAGCCAGCGAGGAGTGGAGGGCTGAGTGAGGATGGCCTGGGAGCAGAGGGCTAGCATGCTGGTGTGCCGGCTCTGGACCACCATCAGCAAGGCGCTGTTGGCTGAGTTCCTGGCCACAGGGCTCTATGTGTTCTTCGGTGTGGGCTCGGGGCTGCACTGGCCCTCGGCATTCCCCTCTGTGCTGCAGATTGCTATCACCTTCAACCTGGCCACGGCCATGGCTGTCCAGATCACATGGAAGGTCAGCGGAGCCCATGTCAACCCCGCCGTGACCCTAGCATTCCTCGTGGGCTCCCACATCTCCCTGCCCCGGGCCATGGCCTATGTGGCTGCCCAGCTGGCAGGGGCCATTGCAGGAGCTGCTCTGCTTTATGGGGTCACGCCAGGAGACATCCGAGGCACCCTTGGGACCAATATGGTAGGTGCAGGGAGGGGTCCATGGCAGGTGGTAGGCCAGGAAGAGGGAGTCCAAACAGGTGGCAAGGTTGAGGGGCCAGGGCCCCAGGAGGGGGCAAGAGGAAAGGATTCACCCACATGCTCTGTATCTGCTCTGGGTTGGGCCCTGAGACCCAGAGGAATCTGACATTAACTTTGTTGCTGGTGTTGTTAAGTGCCATCGAGTTGGTTCTAACCCATAACGACCCTCTATAGGGTTTCTGAGGAGCAGTTTGTGGGTTTGAAGTGCGGACCTTGTGGTTCTCAGTCTAGTGCTGATCCTAAAGCACCATACCAGTAGTCCAGGTCAAATAGGAATAGGGCTGTGGTGTCAGAGAAGGGAGAAGCCACACCAGGAGCAGGGTAGAGGAGCAGCAGGCATTTGAGGGTAGGAGGCTGCTGGTGGTGGAAGGGGTCTGTCTGGTGAGTACTCCAAGTTCCATCCCATAACCCCCTCCCTCCTTTGTTATCTGGAGCACCCTGAGGCCTCACTCTGTGAGTCCCTAAATCACCCATCATACCACTCTCTTCCCCAAGCCCCCTCTTTCCCCACCCACCCTCAAAACATGCCTCCCCACTTCCTTGAGCCTCCCTTCCCAGAACCTCTCCACCTACCAGCTGCTGGGGTAGAAGTGGTACCACCCCATGGGCTTCTGCAGGGAGCAGGTAGGTGCCCAGGACTGCCATGAACCCTACCCTCACAGCTCAAGCTAGGGGGTGGTGAAGTGTCACCCCTTCTAGCCTAGGGGATCACTGTGCCATGGACAGAGTCTACAGAGGCTCCAGTGTGACCCCTCTGCGTAGATCCGGAACAACATCTCAACTGGCCAGGCTGTGATCGTGGAGCTGGTTCTGACTCTGCAGCTGGTGCTGTGTGTCTTTGCTTCCACGGACAGTCGTCAGGCCTCGGGCTCCCCTGCAGTCATAATTGGGATCTCAGTGGCATTGGGCCACCTTGTCGGGGTAAGGGGTAAAGGGGACACAGAGGAGGAGCAGGGCAGAGGGGCTGTCCCCTGGCAGGCCTGTCTTAGGCCTCCTCACACCTGGAACCTGCGCTTACTCCTCAGATCTACTTCACCGGCTGCTCCATGAACCCTGCCCGCTCATTTGGGCCTGCTGTCATCATTGGGAAGTTCACCTTCCACTGGGTGAGCCCTTCTGCCAGCTGCTGTGGGGAAGGGAGAGGGCTCCAGCCTGGGAAACGGGCTGTGGGTTTTACTGCTAGTGGGTCCACAAAGACTGGGGAGACAATACCACTCCCTACAGACCATTTTGACCCCTGGGGGAGGTTTCCCGAAACTGAGAAGTCCAAGGTGTGTATCTGGGCTGTACTTCCTATCTCTCCAGCTTTCATAGCCCCTGGCGACCCAGTGGACTGACATGAAATGGGCCGGGGGCAGAAACTGCATCCTTGGCCCGGGCTTCATGTCCCTAGTTGCTTCCTTATTCACTTCTTCCAACTGGACCAATTTCCAAGTTTGGAAAAAGACAAACAGAAATAGAGACAGGCACCAGCAAAGACAGAACAGCAATTGTCAGGACCCCTGGCTGAGCCTGTGGAGGTGAGAGGAAAGAGGCAGGAGCTGGTGAGGAACCTGGCCCCTTCCCCAGCCAGCACTTCATAACCTTGAAGGCAAGGTTCCCCTACTTACAAGGATTCAGGAGGCAGGCTCTCAAATTCACCAACTTGTAGTCAGTTCGAGGATTCCTGGGCAGGGGTCTCAAAGCCCTCCCTCTGTCCTGATAGCTCACCAACCTGCTTCTCTCCACCTCCTCAGATTTTCTGGGTGGGACCCCTGACTGGGGCTTTCCTGGCTTCACTGCTCTACAACTTCATCCTCTTCCCTGACACCAAGACCCTGGCCCAGCGACTGGCTATCCTCACAGGCAGCACAAAGGTGGACGATGTGGTAGCGGCGGAGCCTCAGAAGAAAGAGTCCCAGTCTGGTCCTGGGGACTCCGAAATGGAAAGTGTGTCAGATGGCATAGGCCTTGGCCCTGGCCCTTGGGCTTTGGAGAGGTGCCCTGGAGGTGGACAACAGTCCTTGACTTGAGATTTTCCTATGGGCTTTGCAAGACAGGATGGAGAGGCGTGGCCTCTTGTCCTAACAAGAGTGTGGTGGGGGTGCAAACCCCTGTCCTTGGCACTCTATTTCTAGGTATAAAGACTCTGCCCAGTTCCCTCCTCCAGGCCTTGCCCATCTCTCAGTAGGCCAGAGCAGCGCTCCCCTTCTCTCTTCCATCTGGACCACAGTGGGAGTCCAGGGATAGAGGAAGTTGGAGCCCAGCCGCTCTGCTTTGACTGACGACTAGAGGGACCTTGGGGAATCCCAGCTTCTAGCCTCACCTCTGGGGAGAAAGAACCAGGTCCTGAGACAATCTTCTAAGCTCCTCAGGGAAGGTTTTCTGCCTGTAGGTGTGGCTTGGGGAACTACAGATATTCCTTCAGACTGAGGGCTTCCTGAGGACAAGGACTGCCTTCCCAATATATTTTCACTCCTCACGGCTCCTAAATGCCGTTGGGAAGAGCTGACCAGTAAGGAGCTTTCTGTGGAATGGAAGAGGGACAGATATGAGCAAGGGAAGGTTGGGTCCAGGAAGGCCTTTTCCAGGATGGGCTCTTCCCAGATGTCTGCCCCGATTTCCACTCCACAGGCCTGGTTGCATAATGGGTTACGCATTGGGCTGTTAAGAGGAGACTTTCTGCTCCCATATGACTTTGAGTTATATGGATTTTGGGGTTTTTTTCCTGAGAAAGGAAGTCCCCATTCCATCCCTGGGCCAGAAGGATCCTTGCTCAGTCCCAGATTCTCAGCTCTACTGAGATTTCCAGAAAGCTGTCAAATTAAGTCGTGAGGAGGGTAGGAGCCCTGGAGGTGACCCAGGAAACCAAGAGGTGGATCCAGTGTGCTCCTGAAAGACTCATGTAGTCTCTCAGTTGGTTTGTCGTTATTTAAATCTACTCTGCTCTTGACTCAGGGTCTTGTCTGAATCTCCCCAGTCTGTAAAATGGGCACCCCCTCCCCCAGGAACTGCTATGGAAACAAGAGATTGGAATGTTATTGGAAGTTAAAATGCTAGAAACCCCCCTCCTCCCAATAAATGATGATTACTGTTGCTGCTACTATAATGATTAGGTTTGAATATAATTACTGTTGGGTATGGAAGGGAGGAGGAAAGAAAGGAGAGGGGAGAATGAGGACTTGAGTTGGTTTTTTTCTGTCAATTCATTGGCTTCTCTTACCAGGGGCCCTGCCTCCTTTCGTGGGTCTACTGACCTAGGAGCTTTGTGGGTGTAGGGTGTGGGAGCTGGGGAGGGGCCCTGGAATAAAGAGTCAAGCCAATAAAAGTCAGTTCTTTTCATCTCTATGGCGCCTATCACCATGGTACCCTGAAATGCAGCAGCCAAATCCGTAAAATAGATAGGTCCCTTCCCAGGATGTCTCCCATGGGGCTGGGGGTAGGGGGTGAGCTACCAAAGTCTTCCAAGTGCCAGCCTGTGAACAGTGCAGTGGCTGAGCCCCAGGGGTTCGGCCAGAAGCCATGCTCAGCTTTCTGCATCATTGTCAGTACAGAAAACTGTTGCCACCTCTCCAAGCTGGGCCCCACTCATCTATCTTCACTATCTTTCAAAGCCAGGGTTTTCTGTGCCCTTTTCCAAGTAGGTACAGTTTGTGTGTGTGTGTGTGTGTGTATGTGCACATACACAGAAGATGTGATTGACTTACTAAAGGTCACCCGGCTTAGTACCACAGCCCCCTAAGTTTTCCCCAGCTCCCAGCTTAGAATTTTCCAAAGGAGAGCTCCAGAGGGGGCTCCTAACCTCTGCAGCCAGAGGAAGGAAGTCAGTAGAAACTAGAGCCTTGAAGAGGACAGGGGGTGGAGCTCCTGCAGGAAGCTCAAACTCCTTGACAGATGATCCATGTGCATCCCCTGAGCTGAGCACACACTGGGTGCTCAATAAAAGTTTGATGAATGAATGACTGCGTCTGAGCAGCTGGGAGGGTGAAGAAGGGAAGGCAGTCATTGATCAAAAGGAGGAAATTCAGGAGATACTGACTTTGAATGACAGAGGCTTAAAGCCTATGGTGGGGGCAACTGGAGAGGAGGCTGGAGCCACCACCCACAATTCCAGAGCAGACCACATGGACAAAGAGACAGGCAAAGAGCAACAGCCTGAAGAGAAAGCTGAAGGCCCTATTTTCAGTAATAGTTCTTACAGTTGTTTGCCCTCAGTGAAGACTAGTGCAAGAAGAGACAAGCTTCTTAAGAAATGAGGAATTAGGTTTGAATCTGAAGCACATTGAAGGTTAGACACAGAAATAAGTAACCCAAGGTTAGCTTCTCCTTGCTGGAGCCCTTAATAGGACAATCTGCCATCTGTTTGCATGAGGGAAGGACTGTCCTTTAAGGAGCCAAAGCTCAGCTCTTCCAGCCTGGGGGAAGTAAGTTTCATCCAAACCCTCACAGTCCCTGGGCCTGGGTGAGGGGAGGACAGAGACCCAACTGGGCCAACCCTGGGTGCATGCTCCCATCCTCCTGTTTGTCAGGGGAAGTTTTTAATTAATGGTGTGTAATCTGATCTGGCCCTTCTCCCCGCTGAGCACTGCCTTCAATCAGTGGAGCCATCTGCAATTGCAATTCATAATTCTCCAGAAGGGAGGGGGCCTCAGGACGGGTGCCTTGGTGATTAATACAATTAGCTTTTTATGTTGATGATTGTCTTAGCGGGCGCAGATGAGGCAGCGCTCAGGGCCCAGGCTATGGTTTCTTAGTTGGCTGGCATGGAGTTTCAGACCCCCCACTGCACTTTTTTAACCTGCTACCCCCAGATACAAGGAAGACAGGCCTAACATAGAACCATTAATGTGCAAGGGGAAAAACCCACCCCAGAAAGAGGCTAAGGCTATGGGACACAGCTGGTGTCCTAGGACTGAGGGAAGTGGAAGATTAAGACAATGATGTACTTACACTTTCTTGAGAAAATCACTTTGACCTAAAGAAGCCTGTGTGCCCCCACGTAAAAGCAGAGTATACAAGGATAGGATAAGGATGGAAAGAGTTTAAATTCTCAAGCACTTAATAACGCTGTGAACTTGAGTAAGTTCTTAGTAAGTCTGAGCCTCACTTTCCTCATCTGGAAAACGGGGATATTAATACACCCTCCACAAGGATGCTGGAAGAACTACGTGAGGCATATGTGTTGCCATCAGTAGTAGCTATTTTTGCCATCATCATGGTAGATTGCCATCCCCTCTGCCAATGAGTGCAGCTGCCTCCCCTGCAGACTCTAATGAGGCTCTGAATATTACTAAAGACGTGATCAAGCCCTTCCTAGGGCCTGAGCTAAGGGGTCTGGGGGAAGAGAAATCCTACAGGAAGAGTCAACACAAGAAAGAAACACGGGCCTTTTCGAACCAAGGAAGTGCGACACATAACACAGTTGGGTGGGGAAGAGATTTGGGGATTGAGGGTAAGGAGGCAGGATTTGGAATTTGAATTTGGAATTTATTATGAAAGCTAAATAAACAAAAAGGAAGCAGTTATCAGAGTTGAAGGTTTAAGAGGGATCACAGATCAGAATTACTGATTTATAATGAAGGCAGGTGGTCAGGAACAAACTAATGGGGGTTTGATGGGGCATTCCAGTGAATCACCCCTTTCTGGTCCTACAGTGTTGTTCTCTATGACCTGTTCAGGAGACAGGCCTAAGAGAAAAGAGCTCTTTATCAGCTTAATGGCAGGCCCCAACAAAGCCAGAAAGGAAGACAGGGCAGAAAGGAGAAAGAGAAGTTCAGGGTTAGCCAAGATGAAGCATCCATCCGGCCAAGCTGTGGTAGCATTTCAGCACAGCTAAGATGCATAATCACTTCCCAGGGAGAGACACCTACACTGAGCGCAGTCTCATATTTAGCAAAAGACGGGAAGGAGGTAAGGTTAGTAAAGAGGGGCTGGGGGGGGGGGGTTGCTGCACTACGGCATTAATTAATAGGCTGTAGTTAATGGGTAGAAAAGGGAGGAAATGAAAAACAGAGCTCTGATTAAGTTAGATAAACAGCTAGTGCCAGAGAGGACAGAGACTGAGTCAGGGACCAATCATTTGCACCTCCCCCCTGGGCAGATGGAACATGGCCCGGCGGGGGGGGAGGGGGACGCCAGCCTGGGGTCAGAGCTGAGGCCAGGACAGCAAGCAGGAACAACAGACTGGATGATGCCTCTGCCCAGAATATTCGGAGTCAGAAGTGCATTCACCCTTTGAGATCCAGCTCAAATGCCATCACCCTTGAGGCTCTCTCAGCCTGTAGCTCCCTCCCTCCTCTGCGCTCCCATGGTACCCAGCACCCATCTCTATCCTGGCACTAAGCACATTACTTCAGTTATTTGAGCACTTCTCTCTACCAGAACAGGAAGACCTTCTTAAACAAAATTACAGTGTTCGCCTACTTCTCATTTCAGGGCAACAGGTTCTTTAACTTTACTGTCTTGTCTTGGGAGGTGAGTCTTCCTTTGTCCCTTTTCAAGGAACAAGGCCCTACTCTCATCCCCTCCACTCTGCCCATAGCTGGTATTCTGAATTTGGTGAATGAGCAGGACAAGGATTAGAGTTTTCCAACCATCTGCCCACACAGAATAGCTAACACCTCATTTTTTTGTTGTGTGTGTTTCAGTACGATTCTGTAATTTCAGAACTCAACCAGGATCTACTAATATTTCAGTAATGTATCACTGATTCAATGTTGTTTTTCCTTCCCTGCTTCAGGGGTCACAAGCAATAGCTCTTGGGCCATGCCTGGGGCAAATTTTGAGCCTGTTCCATATACTGCTTGTGCCAGAGTGCTGGGGGGAATTTTAGTTTCTTTGCTTTGCTTTTCTGCAACTTCCCTCTGGCCTGGAGTAAAGTTCCCTAGCCTCAACATTTAGTCCAACCTACAGCCTCTCTTACATGAACAGCAAACATTCTCAATATTGATTATAATAAAATGGACAACTATTTCATGAGGAAAAAAAAACTGCATTATATTTGAAAGATGCTATTTAAAAAAATACCCCAATTATCAGATATATTAAAAAATATCAAGTGAAATCTGTGAAAGCTGGAACTCAATGGGACTGCCTTGTTTTTCTGGGTCTCACAGGTTTTCTGCCTTTGATAGGTATAGCTTTTCTATCACTATTGGTGGTGGTGGTGTGCCATGGAGTCAGTTCTGACTC